GAAGCAGCAACAGCAGCAGGAGTGGCCTGCTGAGCCTGGTGGTGGTGGTGAGCTTCAGCAAGCACTTGGTGCCCTGCTGCTTTGATGTGACATTTACTTTGAAGTATCATAGGTCCATGCTGAAAGCCAAAAAAAAAGTAATCACTCCCACAGAACTCACTCCATTGTTTAAACCCTGCCCTTTTCATCATGTCCCCCGTAAGCTAAAGGTACTATTCTGTAAAAACTGTCATGGCTCAGGAGATAGGAAAAACCAGTGTCCCATATTTTACAGTGCCAAACGCAGCAAAAAATCAGGCTTCCTCATGTCCTCCCCAAAACTACTTACACATCTTAGCTCCAGTGAAGATTGCCTCCAACATTATATCTAGTATGCCTGTCACCAGGAACATGGTTGGTGTTAGCCAGTGGTTTGTATGAACTAATACACCCTTACAAAGGTCAAAATAAAGTCAATGAAGATCATGGTGAGAGACCACAATATACCATTAGTTGCTGAAAGGGAGCTATACCAATGTGCTATTCAATTGGAGAGGTTGTCTGGTTTCACCTGCAGTACTGGAAGCAGTCTGATCAAAACTCACCAATCTGTTCTAGATGAATGCTACAAAGCAGCCCCTGAACTATCATGATGGTTTTGTACCACAGCTTATGGTGTAATGGCATTCTAGTAGCAACAAAGTTGGCAACAAAGAAATATATGTAAGGTCCTTCAGACATGCATTGCAAAAGATACGACAAGCTATATGGGTATTTCACTTCTGCTAATACCAAGATGATCTGTCAACACTGTAACTGCTGCCCTTGTGTGCTTCAAATCAACTCAAAAGTTAAGGTCCTGAATGCCACCATTTCTAATGACAAACTCATCATTGCTCTGCAAAGTGCAATAAAGGGTGCCATAACCTGAGAGGAGAGTAATGGGGCAAGCTGCTGTCAGTGCATGTTATGTGCCTCTTCTTGCTCCATGAGCCTTCTGCTGCTGTGGTACTATCATTCATTGCCTTGTCAGATTTGTCATGGATCGGGTGAGATCACTGAATATACCACCAAGTGTCATATTCAATGGACAAAGGGTTGTGCTTCCGTGCCTGCCTACTACCAGCCAGTTGAAAAAGATCATACCATTTTGGATTAGTCAAAATTTAGATCAAGTGTAACCCCCATACATACTTATATGTGTAGAATCCTTATGTAAAGAGGAAGTCAGCCATAATGTCCTTGTGAGCATTCAATATGATGCAGTGGTAGTTTATTTGGCCAAACGTTTTGTCTAGGCATATTTTTTGGTGGCAAAAGAATATTCTGAGGGTTCTCCAGACACATTTTGAGTAAAAAATTCTGTGGAGAACCCACTTGGTAGGCTAATCCGGTTCTCCATTTTTTCCCTGTTAAGTAAGTGGGAACCGCATTTGAAACATGAAATTTGATATGCCCCTTTTTTAAACCTGTATTTTTCCACAATCCGATGGACTATCCAACTTCTTTTTTAATAGTTTTCCTCTAAGTTTTCAGTCATGTGCTCAGCATTTGGAGGGTCCTTCTGGTTGTGGAATTTACTGGTGTGAGTATCGCCCATTGGCTACGTGCACAAAAATGGTATAATCTTTTCCAAGCGGCCGGTATAGTAATGATGTCAATGTATAATGGGAACCAACATTTTGTCTTTATTTGGATTGCACTTTTTTTGAAGTTTCCACCCACCATTCCCCATCGTGGAGTTTGCCAATGAGGGAGTCTGTCGTTAGCTCAGGAACTTGGCTTGGTGAAGTGGGATTCTTTTCATTTGGGAATCATAAATTTTCTTCTTTGATTAATGAAACATTCTTGGTTAAAAGAGATTGCAATTATTAATTCTAAAGTATCTTACATAGATACCTTTGTTGCCAACTTTGTTGCTAGAATGCCATTCCATAAGCTGTGGTACAAAACCATTGCCATGTAGTTCAGGGGCAGCTTCATGATAGCATTCATCTAGAAGCAACAGTTTGGCAAGTTTTGATCAGACTGGTTCCAGTACTCAACGTGAAACCAGACAACCTCTCCAATTCAATACTAGCCCATTGGTATAGCTCCCTTTCAGCAACTACTAATGGTATGTTGTGGTCTCTCATGATCTTCATTGACTTTATTTTGACCTTCTTCAGGAGTGGTAACAACCTTTCATCAAAGCTTGTTTTGATTACAATGACAAGAACAGAGTTGGAGCTTTCCTCCAAATTAACAGGTTCATAGAAAACACCATTGTTGAGATCAGAACCAATGGATTCCATTGCAGATTCTATCAACACATGATCAACTTCTTCAACTGAAGGGTTATACATAACTTGGTTGTAAAGATTCTGTGACATGCCACCAGATGGACCATCTTGGGTATTAGTTAACGCAACCTTCTTATCGTCTCTTGAAGTTTTGTACAAGAAAGAAGAACTGAAGTCATAGGTCCCATTATGAAATATTGGAAGCAATCTTTACTGAGGCTAAGATGAGTGAGGAGTAGTTTCTTCATTTCTGTGATGAAGCCTGATTTTTGTGGCTTTTGGCTCTGGTGTAAAATATGGGACACTGGTTTTTCCAATCTCTTGAGCCATGACAGTTTTGACAGAATACCTTTAGCTTAGGGGGGGGTATGATGAAAAGGGCAGGGGTTAAAGAATGGAGTGACTTCTGCTGTGGGAGGGATTACTTTTTTTTGTGCTTTCAGCATGGACCTAGTACTATGATACTTCAAACAAGTAGTAAATGAATGCTCATTCCGGAAACATGTTCTGGCAAAACAGCAGAGTTGTGAACAATTTTCCCAGATTTTATCCAAACATGAAAAAATTGCGGATGGTATCAACAGCCTGAAATGCACAGCAACAATGCCATGAATCTGGCTGTTTGTTGTGCTGCTGGTGGTGTGACACATGTGACGTAGTAGTACTAGTACTAGTAGTACGACAACCATATCATATTGAGATATGGTGTATGCTATCAAAATCGTAGGAAAATAACAGTGCAAGCAAGCATAGTCATTGTACATTAGTGTAGTAGCAATGAAGATCTCAACAAGTTACCATTGTGTGGCAGTAAATGGCTGTACCACATTCACGAGTAGCTAGTAGTGAGTGACCTTTGGGTGACTCAACACTCCACTCACTCTTTATTGTAAACCATGTATCATTGTGCGGTACGCTAGAGAGGAGAGCCTAGTATCAGGGCCCTCCGGAACCAATGCGCGCGCGTCCCCCCTTTGAAATCTAATATCGGGGGTATGATTTCGTGGGTTTTTTTTTCCAAAAAATAACCTGGGTTCCTGGGTTAACCCACGAATAACCCACGAATAACCCACAAAATAACCCATGAATAACCCACGAAAAAACCACAAACCTGCTGGGCCTTTCTCCAAATATTAAAAACAGTGATTAAATCGTAATGTTAATGACTAAAATACTTAACACCCTTGGTTCTCCATCAACCCAGATGACTATAAATTCGTGGGTTTTTCGTGGGTTATTTTTCATATTAAAAAACCCACGTTTTAGAAACGTGGGTTATTTTTCACCAAAAATAACCCACGTTTTTCTAGGGGAGGAATTTGAAAAGGGGGATGTGCTCGTGGGTACTGGAGGGCCCAGCATTTCAAAGGTAATGAGCAACAAAGGACTTGCCTCAGCTCATCCCGACCCGTGCGGGTTGCTGCCGGCCGGTGTGAGCTAACAAACCGGCCAGCACGGAAGGGATGCGCTTCCGCAGAGTTCTGCAGACTAACGACTTTACTTACAGTACTCGTACTGTTTTATGTTTCTTTTTGCGTCTGCATGCATTTTGACAGGGTGTTCCATCGAAACGACATTTTTTGTTCTTGTACCAACCCCTCTACCGGTTCGTACGAGTACCCATCCCTACAATGGCGCACCTACCGCTGCCAGAGGTTTTGTCGATGGTATGATGGCAATAATAAAGAGGTTCGTTCCTCATCTAACATAATAAAACCCATGCCGGGTTTGGGTAGTCAAAAACTATACCCCGATAGTATACCCCTTCCGGAAAGTTCTGTCCATTATTGATGTACTACGAGAATTCGAATTGACGTTTTTATTTTTTTTCGAAGAAAAAATGTCTCGTTACTTATTTTTTGATCTTTAAGCACAAGTTGCGTGCATTTTTGGGGTTATTATTCCGAAACAATACAGTAATACGTTGTGGACCAATCTTTCGGGCAGTTTCTCAGAAGATAGTGCCAGTCAAACGTATGAGATAGTAATCATCGTGATGCTAGTGTCCTAAAGTCATCGCGTTAAGTACATGAGGGTTTCCTCTGTTTGTCAATTAAGGACGATTATTCGAGTTGTAAGCTTTGAGATTCAAAGCGGGTAAGAACCCTTTAAACTTTCCGCAAAATGCGGGTCTGGGTTCGCCATATTTGGGCTCCGTCACTCCGAAATACCAAAGTCGGGCATGCCCGATCGTGCACCTTGTCCGGTTCGGTCCCGTGGGAAAGGTGACAAATTGTATACGGTTTAACCTTTCATCCCTACTATGACCACCAGGCCGGCTCAGGAACGTTCCTTTTTTGCGAGCATATTTAGTTCGCAAGCCAGAAATAAAATTCCCAAACACGTCCCACCGACGAATCCTTCATTGGAAGATGGAACACATCAAAAAACTCGGTTTGCGGGAACTTTCGCTTTCGTACTGCTCATGCAACCGGTTCTTTTTTTTACGTCAACGGACTCAACTATCACCCCAGCAACCCTTGTTTTCTTTTCTCTAATGAAAGCCTAATTGCAGCCCAAAGGAATGAACAGAGGAAATCGTGTTCGACATCCAAATGAGATCCACCTGTAGCTAGTTGGAAGTAAAATTAGTCCTTTTCACTTAGGTGTAAAGATGTGTCTTGACGCTTTTAAAAATATGTCGAAAATTATCGTTGTTCAATATGTTCTCCCAATAGAGCGTTATATGTATGCATGATGTATAAATAAGTTCCGACCACTTTTTGTTTGTGAAATTTCAAAATTTGTGGGCCTTTATTGGTTGTGTTACGCCGCGGCTGCCAGAACAGCGGTCGGTGATTCACAAATGAGATAGAAGGAGTTTTCTAAAAAGGCATCGATGATTTCGTCGTTGTCGCCGTCGTAGAAGTTGTCCCTGTAGATACCACTGCTGTTATTATTGTTGCTGTTGATCGTTGTAGACGGCAAAGAATCGATCAACCAGTAGACCGATTTCAAGAGCAGTTCGTCATAGCAACGGGCCTCTTGGGAAGCTGGCCCTTCTAGCGACTTGCAGAGGTGCGAAAGGTTGTTGAAGACGGCAGGGATGCATATCTTATCGACGCAACGGATATTGTGCTGGATATATTCTAGTGAGAGTTTGTAGAGTGTCTTCGATGCTTGAAAGAGATCCCAGGGATTAGTGTTGGTCGGCAGATATTGTTGGTCTTGGCGGCATACCCTAGACGTAATATTCATTCCCCACAGTTGATTTGAGACAGCCGAATTAAAAATCAAAACAAAAGATCGCTCTTCCATGGATGCGTGATCCCATTCTAATTGGGACATTACAATGGGCAACGAGTATACTTGGTGGTACTTGTATTTTGTCTTGCTCTTGTGTGATCTTTCTGCACCTCTTTGGTCTTGCCCGGGATAAGATTTCGTTCGCAATTGCGAGTTCCTCGTCATGCGGGGAATTCCCCAGCTTTGGTTCGAAGCAGGGGGAATAATGTTTGTGTCTTCATCATAGGTAAGGGATGAAGAAGGAGAAGACAGCGGATGCAGACTTGTGGTCTGAGTAGCATCAGTCAATGGGCAGGCGTTGTCGGCATCGTTTGTGAAGTTCGTTACCGTCCAGCTGTCGTCGATCAGCATGCAATGGCCATCGTCCTCCTCGTCCTCCTCGGAATCATCGTCGAAAGAGAAACCGTAAATGTCGTCTTCAAACGCTGTGAAGTTGTTGGGATTGGCGTTTGTAGGATGATACTCCGTGTCACGACCTGGCCCTGCGTGGATGGAAGAAGCTCGTGGGCAGTGAAAAAGCTTGGAGGCCATTTTCTCTTTGTGTTTCGAGAKGGCAATCTCTAGTAGATGGTTCGCTTTCGCAAAACAACCCATTGCCACGAGGACACATGCTCGGTTGTTCAACATCCGAACTGGTATTCTAGACACAACATCATCATTGTCATGGCGTTGGGAACAGTTATGAGAATGCGTAGAATTGGAAATGGAACTGCTGCAATAGCTGGATGAAAAGTGTTCTTCCGGGGTTCCGTGATGATGTTGGTCGGTGGAATAGTGTCGATGGTTATTTTGGTAGGTTGCCATGGTCAACAAAGCACAATGTAATTGGTCGCCTTTATATTATTTTATGAATGACGAAGACGGCAGTGAAAAATGAACGGCAAAATAATAACTGGAAAATACCTCCTTTTGGTAAGCCACGATTTGGTAATACGTACGGTACCGTACTTTTTTCAAAGAAATTACGGTTGGGCCTTCTCTCATCCAAAGAATTGTCATGCTAGATTCTACATGCAATGAAACAGACTACTGTAAATTTCAAAAATCCTACGGCAACCCGAACCTTGCATACCGAAATCAAACTCGACTTGCGATTTAACGAACCTTGAAAGTGACATTCGTACCATATTGTACAAGTGCTACATACGAGTATCTACGTACCTTCAGTAGATCCAACACTTTCGTTTGGACGTCGAGTGAAATTCAGGATGACTTTTTATCATGCTTTATCCACTACGATACTAACTGTTACTCCACCGTACTATTGGTTCGTTTGAGTGAGATAGAGATATTTTTCCGATGGTACATTACTACTTGCTAGGTGGGATGACATACTCGCCTTGTGGGTTCATTTTTTAAGAGAATCGAACAATTTCCTGTGCGTGATGGTTTGGAGAAAAACCCTGACCTGCGCAGGAATAATCAACCTGGGCATTTTTCAATGGATAGAAAATGGATACCTTTGCATCGGAGGGTGGTGTCTGAATGATTATGCCTTCCCGCCTATGTGATCCACCTGTATCGAGAGCAATTTTTGTTTTTGCAATTTTTTTCAAGTACTACTACGAAACCTAAAATGGCTTAGACAGTTGTGTGATGCGTGATGTATTCTCGAAACTCAAAATGAGTACTATGAATACCAATCCGTTTTTGTGAGATTCATTTGCATGAAAGGGTGTTGTCTAAACGATTGTGCATTTCGATCCACCTATCGCAATATGAACGTGATGTCATTCCGAGATTCAACATTGGCATGAATAGATCCGTTTTTGTGAGGGGGTGGTGCCGTCAAAAGGTTGAAGTTTCTATCGGCAAGACACATATTTTCATTCTTGCCGAGAAAAAACAACCAACATTACAACCGACATTACTTTGCTCTTTCATCATCAAGTAGGACAAACGAGAAGTCTTTCCTTTTATCATTTCGTTTTTCTGGTTTGGACTTGAAAGATCATCCCCTGGACGACTAAAATTGGTCGATGCAAGAAATGAATACTTCTACATATTTTTGCACGTTGCAAAATGTAACGTTCTTACATGAAATAAGTTATATCACTAACTAGCCCCAGTACAAGCTGCCTCTCTGGTACAAAATTGGAATGCTAACTCTAAGCTGCGATGTTTGTTTCGCTGCTATTAAGCAGAATAGAAAGATGATTGAATTTTCTATCGTGCAATTTTTTTGAGTGCAAGTTGAACGAAGGTTTCCATTGGGCCTCTACCTGCCGATGTCTGAATGTGAGTGCGTATGCGGTGATGTGCGTGCAGTTGTTGTCGAAGCTTCATTATGCACTAAACATTTTGCCGTTCCTAAGTGCAGCATGGAATTCCTACAACGTTTCAGGAATGATATTCCAGTTCGTTTCTTCGTTGGTGCATTCATTAACAAGCTAAAATCCGTTTCTGCCTTGGCAATAAACGACTTTCTTCGATGACAACTGATCCCTAGAACGTACGATACGATGCTGACACACCCGAAATAATATGCCTATCACGGTGAAAACAATACATGTAAGGTTTGCAAATACTGAAGATGATTCGGTTCAAAATCAAATCGAGTCGAATCAAATCAGTATTTCATAGGTGGTGGCTGCAAACGGCTTCGTTACGCAATTGAGGGCGGGAGGTAATCGACAGTAGCGTTGGAGCGTGCAGTATTGGGGTGATGGCTCATCTGCTCGAGCTGTGCCTCCATGTTCTTTTTCCGCCTTTTCTTCTCCGCACGCAGCGATTTCGATTTCTGTCGGGACTTGCGGTTTTCTTCGAGGACCGCCGCCTTGAGGCGGGCGCTCCCGGTGCGGACGTCATGGGGGTGCTTGAGGACACAGGCCACGCAAAACAGTGAGATGAGCCCCAGCAGCGAGATGTAAAAACCCGGGAGCATCTGCGGAACCAGTGTGTTGAAAAAGTTGGGGTACATTTCCTCGGGATCCACCATCGTGGTCGACTCGTAGTAGAGTGCGGTTGCAACCAGCGGCATGGTGCCCCCAAAAAGGGTGGCAGCCGTGTTGTGACCCACAGCAACGCCCGTGAATGAAAGGGTTGGATCGGCCATCCACAGCTCCACCTCTAGTGCGGCCATGCCTCCGGTGACCAAGGCGAGACAGGTGGCCAGCAGAATCTGCCCCAGAAAGATTCCCCACCAGCTCTCAGTTTCGAACATGGCAAACATCACCGGGCAGGCCACGATGAGGCCGGGTAGGCCGATGCACATAAGGTCCTTGCGGTGGGGAAACCGGTCCGAAGCCTGCCCCGAAAAGAGTAGCATCACAATGTAGGTCCCAACGACTGCAAAGTTCATGGAATCCGCGTGGGCCTGCGTCATAAACCCTTTGAGTTCTGACAGGTATACGGGACAGAACAGAAAGAGGACGTAAAAGGTGCTGGTGGTGGCGCTCAGGAGGCCGATCATACCAGCCAGCTGCCGCCTCCGGAATGGACTGTCCATGAGATCCAGAATAGCGGGTCGGGTGTTGTCAAGTTCTTCCTCGGCTTCCCGGACCTGTTCCTCGATCACCTTTTGCTCGTTTCGTTCGGCCCAAAACTTGGATTCCTCTGTCTGATTGACCACGTGGTAAAGAAGGGGTGCCAAGAGGAGCGAAAACAAGAAAGGAAGTCGCCAGGCCCAGGCATCCACCTGTTCCTTCGTACAAGAGAATCGCACACATGTCGTTACCAGCGAGGCGAGCAAAAAGCCACCGACCTGTTTGCGAAATCAAAACATCAGGGAGAAAAGGTAGAAAACGTCTTCTGTGAGTTTGATAATACTTCTATTCTAACGATCCATATCTTCGCCTTCCCACCGAGATTCCAAATCATTCACTTGACTGGTATAAATATCATTCAAACAGTCAGATTTGATTAAATAACGCACCGAGCTCGCGTCGCATATGCTCCCGCGGAAGCCTCTATTCCGGGCCGAGGACTGCTCGATCGACAGAACGTACGAACCGGCGAGCTGACCGCCGACCGAAAGCCCCTGTAGCATGCGCAGGACGACTAGCAATATTGGCGAGACCCACCCCAGCGTCTCGTACCCCGGTAGGATCCCCATAAGCACCGAGGGGATTGTGATGAGCAGAATGGAAAAGACCAGGGCATGCTTCCGGCCGACGATGCGGTCCCCGATCTCTCCAAACAATATGGCTCCGATCGGCCGCATTACAAAGGCGGCAAGGTAGACGCCGAAGGAGTTTACCAGCTGGAGTTCCTTCGAGGATTGGGGAAAGAAGCAGGCACCGATTTCCGATGCCAAGAGTCCGTACACGGCAAAGTCATACCTTTTGTAGCATGCAAGCACACCATGGTACAGCAAAGTAGATTACATCGCAATCAATAACAACACAAAAACGGAACCAAAAAATAAAATACAGCCAAAAGAGTCATGAGAAGAGATAGTTACCATGGCATCCCGTAGCATATCACAGGCCGAACGAACAGAGCAGACCAGTGGCACAGAAATCCACAGCTCTCGATCCCAACCAATATCCTTACCACTCGTAGATGTTCCCGCCAACGCCGCTGAGCAATCCCCAGATGTTGTCGTCTCCGTGGTCGTTGTCCGACGCCGAATAAAAGCTTAGCTCTTCCTCGCGCATCTGCTTCTCCGCTTCGGTCATGTCTGCGTAGCCAGATAAGTCGTTATCGTCCATGCCCAGCCTATCCATTCCCTCAATCCGTGGTTTGACCGCCTTCTGGGACGGCATTGTTGCTGCCGTTCCTCCGATGGTTGTGGCATCAATCAAGGGGGCAATGGTCGGGGCAGCGGGTGGGGGTTGTGACGATGAATTCATGGCGTTTGTTTGTTTTTCCGATCTGCTTTTTGGAACCTCGTTTCAACAAAAAAGACTAAGAAATTTGTTGTCCGCTTTTCGCTTTCGTATCGAATCGAATCGATTCGATTTTTCCAAATCGGTGGCTTGCAATTCGAGTCGCAGCTTGGTTCTGACCCGTTTCTTAGTCGAAGGATCAGACAGAAAACTTTTTCCGGATGCTAGAAGGGACAGCAAGCAATGTAACTCCCAAAGCTAGTAAGAACTGGTATTGGGTTTTGTGCTAATGTATGAGTACCCAAGTACAGTTCTCATATGTAGCATGCCGCTTCAACGATGATTCGATTCGTTTGAGATGATTCTATTTGAGATGATTCTATTCTCGGACGCAAGTTCGGTAGGTACGAGTACTCGTAGACGTAGACGCTACTGCCGTACGACGGGCCATGCGTTGCACAAAGGTTCAATGCTCAGCAATGCGATTGGATTTCTCCTTTTTCGGCACAACAAACAAGAAAACACGGGATCAGAGTTACGGTACGATTGCGCTTGTTCCTACCATACTGTACTTGTGCAACTTGAATCTCAGTACGTACTACTATTAGTAATTACTTTAACAATAATAATCGCCTGCCCCCCCCCCCCCACACACACACATCTTAGCTTGTTGGAGGCAAGAAGATGACAGCGGGCCGATTCGGTTTGGATGTTGGTGATACTGGCATAGTTGTACGGTACGTACGGTACAGTAATCAGAGTCGTACGGTTCAACAGTCTGTACCGTACGGTACGTACTCGTTGACGGAGCGAGTAGAAAATTGAATCATAGTGGCACGTACGTGCTCACTGCGCAAAATGCAACCGTTGGAGCGCGTATGTATGCATCGAAATCGCCGAATCGGGATTTGAACCGCACAGACACGTGCTTCCATGGTTTTGAACCGTAGATTCAATCGGGGGTCATAATCTACCTACAGCAAAAGGTGCGAGCATCAATTCGATAAGTTTTGCAGCACCTAAAAAAACTCACACACCTTATCGATTGGTGGTCAAGCAATGGCTTTGGTCACAAACAATATATGTGAGGTCATTCAGATGCGTGCTACATTCCCTTCTTACCAATGCGTCTTTGATCAAGAAGGAAGAGAATCTTTCCTTCCCCAGCAACCAAAGAACCCCTGCGTCCCCCTGCTGCGATCCTGAACTCACACCACCAGACACTCTTATCTGTGAACTCCATCACAGACAATGGTGGTTGTAAACATGGAAGGACGATAAGTGTGTCCCAAATAAAATGAGATGCTAGTCCCAAATATATGATATTGCTATTGATAGACATGGAAACACCACACTATGTCCTCTTATGACTCTGGGGATATTAAGTGATTAGTATACGTGTTCTACCAGACCCGATGCTTGGGAAACAATATACTTCTTCCATCCCCAGAAAAAAGCAACCAATCTGTGGACAACCTCAATAATCTCCATGATGGGGTCCTCCCATGCTATTGAATGGAAAAATTGTCCATGGAATGGGAAGCTTTTCAATGTGAAAATGAAGTTTGCGGTGGCATTTTTCATTGGCTGGCGATACTGAACAGCACGAAAAGCTCTGTGGTCATTTCACATCCGCAAACACTAGAATGATATGCAGACACTTTAGTTGTCCCCCTGCTCTTGGAATCAATGCAAATGTCAATGTGCTGAATGAATCTGTTATGGAAGAGTTGGAGGCACTGTAAGCCCATGAAGGGAATGAATGTGTCACGGACATGTCCTCAGATGAAGAGACTTATGAATGTTCTTGGCACAAGAGCTTGAAAACACACACCCAAAGGATATTAAACGACATATTTGCCCTCCCTCTGTTTATGACGTCCTTCCAATTTCAAGGAGTCATCTGTTCCTGAAGGAGTATCCCTTGGTCAACATTGTCAAAATAAATCTTAAAAAGAACCACGTGTATTTTCATCTATCCCAATACATTTGGCTGTATGGCCCTCCTTCTGGATGGGACTCCTCCTGGAGCAAGAGCAACCATAAGATGGAAGTGAAAGCTCCTGCTAAAAGAACTTCCCAAGCCTCCTGGTTGTTAATGAAACAAACTGCCAAGCGTCACATGGAATACCGCACAATCAATTGACTTCACCTTGAGTTTGACTATTACAACCGAGCAACAACAAAAAATTGTTATTCTGTGAACACCCCTCTTTCAAATCTGATTCCAGACAAGAATGCAATGTGTAGTTTGACTGGGCATGTTTTTTGGTCCATCTCCCTAACTAAACACCTATCCTGTCCTGAAGCGCTATCCATGCCAGATACTATGCTTTCTTAACATCGACCAACCAATCAGTACGCACTCAGTAAGGGGCTTTGATGTCCACAACGCAGGTTACTACGCTGTCGCTCATTGTTTTCTGGAAGAACAAGAAATTTCTAGCTGACGAAAGAATGCCAACTGGAAACCTCATTCCTTTGTGAAGAAGGGCATGTTGCGCACTGGGTTGTGCCTATTTCCTTGCTCCAGCATTCAATCAGAAATTGCAGTCATTTGTATTGGTGTTGGATTGAAGGATTTTTTGTCATTCACCTCAGGGAAGAATGGCTTATAAACTTCAACGACATCATGTCTGCAATGAGATCAGTGAGCATGACAGATATTGTAGCAGATAATCGCTACTAGAGTGCCTGATTATTGGCAAGGTTTTATCCAAGAAAGAGTATAGCAGTGAAACTGAGAACGCTGTTCTCACTTTTGGTGTAGACCCCATTTGTTGCAAACATTGGTGTTAACCTGAACACATCTCTGGGCCTAAACAATTCCTTTCGTGATTCAAGCTTGGCACCCTGTTGTTTCCACTGTTGTTGGGCTACCGATAAAAACAATGTAGTTGAAAAACTGAGAACATCATTCTCACTTTCAGTGTACAACTGGTTTATGCAAAATTGGCGCAAATCTGAACACAACCCCGTAGCAGGAAATTTGAGAACGCTGTTCTCAAAATTGGTATATGAATGATTTCTGCAATGTCGGCATGAAGCCGTACACAATTCACTGTGTATGATTATTTGTTTTCCTAAGTACTTTTTTTACATGTCGTCAACCACCCAAATGGTACCATAACAGTTCCATTTTTTTTTCAACCGAGAATGGTGTTATCCGTTTTGTCCTAGAGTTAGGTCAAATCCTGAGTGGTTTCAAATTACTAGTAGTCTATTTTACTTTTTGTTAACTGGTCCAATGATCAGAGTACAGCACTTGCATATTCAAGTTACTTGTTATGTCATTGCCCTTTTGGCATTGTCCATACAAAGTAGGGATTCTATTGCCCCTTTGATGATTGTATCCTCCACAAGGACATTGTCTGTGTTCCAAGCAGCAAACACAGAAAAGAAATCCAGTTTCCTTCTCTTCAATAGACGTCTTGATGACTCCATAAACACCTCCGGGGTAATCGACTCGTTCGCTCTTTCTGGTTTGGGATTCTTGTCACAGTTGGTGTGGATGGTAAACTTACCCAGCAAAAGCTTGACAGATCCCTTGATCACCTACCAATTGAGGCAAGGCAAAAGAAGAATGTGCACTTCATATATGGCTAGGTTTAGAAAAGGAGGGGAAGAATCTGTTGTATTGTTGTGCATGCAATGTTACCGTGTGTAGTGTATGCTATGATGACTTCCACAAAGTGCAGGAACTGACAGAAATAAAATACTGGTTGAAACAGGAATGTCTTGAAAGAAAAGAGAAACCAAGGAAGGGGTACTGGAACAAGGAGGAAAATCTACAGGAGAACTGGCCACAAAAAGATGTTATGTTGAAACAGTGTTTTACAAGCCAAGAGGTTATTGAGCATAGGATGAACAACTTTGAGAAGTAGTATTATTAGTAGAAGTCAATCAAGAAGTCAGTGTAATGTCAGTACAAGTGGAAGTAAGCATCACTTTGTTACTAGTAACAATGACCGTTATCTCACTTTGTTACTAATGATGACTGTTATCTCAAAAGTAAGGAAAGGAAAATGCTGAAACAGCATGGTGGTGAGGTTCATATTTGTTGACTTATCATACCGGATGGTACTTTCAGAGAACGATTCAAGTTCTGCGCAGTGTTGTGAGTGTGGGAGTTGAATACTCATCATTGGAATAACCACAGTCAATGACCAACCAGAGCTTTGCTGGATTGCTTTTAGACAAAACATCCTTTCCGTGTTTCAGAATACCTGGGTCATTGAGTTGTAGACTGCTTCAAATCTTTGTGGTTGGTCACCCATAATATGTTTATTGAATAGGTCCCTTTTCACGTCATCCACATTTGGTGGAAACAAGTATAACCATGGACAATAGTCTTGGCTATGTTCTCAAGGCTCCTAAGTGCAAGGGGTTTTCCTCCTTGACGATAAGCCCATTGGTCAATGGTGCACTGAGATGCAAACTCTATGACATCATCAATAGTTTTGGGTAGAGGAGAAAAAATGAATCAGCCACATGATTCCAAGGTGGTAGAATGACAAACTTGGCACAAGCCGCCGTGCATAAGAATGTCTATGTGGTAATTTTTGGTGATCTTTGATTGATACTTGCAGAGCATTGACAAGAAGCCAAACACAATTTTTCCATGGCGTACGTTGGGATTGTCTACTGTACAAACCGTTTCTGTTCCAGTTATGTGATCCCTTTTGCTGGGAACAATGAAGCTGCACTCAGTTAACTTGGGAAGAAGTACATGTAGAATTTCTCATAAGCAAACACAGATTCATGGCAGTGCTCAAGGGAAAGCAACGTGAATGCCGTGGAGCCGTTGGTTGAGTTTAAGTTTTGCCACAAAGACCAAAGCCAAAAACCCATTTGATTCAGATATTTGGTTTTAGAGTTTAGGTTCCCAATGGTCAAAGCATTGGATGGGATGTGATTAGTGGAATCGGTTGAAGCAGAAAACAGACTGACATGACGTTCAAGAAGAATACCCCATCTATTTTGGTACATGACTTGCAACGTATCATTCCCTACCAACTTCAGTAGGGCCGTACCACCGAAGAGTTTGGCAATAAACTTCCCCATTTCCTCAACGTAATCAGCACATTTTTGTGAGTATGTCCCTTTGGTGGGGTTGTAAGAGAAGCTTCTGTTGTTGTCTGGTGATAGAGAAAGTTTGACCTCACAAAAGTAGGTTCCGGAAAGTATTCATGTACTTGGTCATGGTTTTGGAAGATATGAGATTGCAAGTCTCTCCCAACTTCTCAGAAATGTTTGTGGACGTAGATTTAATAGAAACGTTTTCTTTGTTCAATTTAGCCTGCTGTCTGGAAACTTGTACCTTTTAAGACGTTTGGTAAACTTGGATTTTGGGACAACAACATACTGAGCATTTCCAAATGCTGGATTTAGAAACTGGATCCTTCATTAGGAAAAGGTTCAACAATGGATGTATAGTGAGCGGAAGGTCACCAGCCTCACCCTTGCTGGTTGGCACCACTTGAGAAGAAGGACAGGTAATCACAATTCTGGACACTATGATAACAAGGTTTTTTT